AAGGCTCCTTCTCATGGTGGTTGAGAGCCACAAACCCTGAAGGTATAATCCAGTCCTCCAGGCAACAACAGGCTTTTCTCCACTGGTACCAGCAAGATTTAGGTGTGACTCCTATTGGTCTGAACTGGGTCACATGTGCATCCCTGAACCAATCACTTTGGCCAGGGCATAGACTAGGCTGATGGATTGTGTGTTTATTATTGGTGTTGGGAGATGAGTACATTCCCTACTCAAACCATAAGGACTGAGAATGGAAAAGGGACCAGGTCACCAAGCAAAATGGGGCACTGCCTATAGAAAGAGGGATGACTGGAGGGACAGAACATGCCCATCCTGGGGAGTTATTGAGCCAAGAGATGACCATTGGACTTTGAGATTCCTTCTCCCAATGTTAGGGAGCTTCACCTCACAGGTGGTTGCAGTGTATGGGAGACGGATGCGCAAAATCTCCTCCCGACTGATTTACAGCCTCAGAAAACCAATGAAGGGTCAACTATGAGTCAGTTCTGGATTGGCGGCTATGAGTTGATTGAGTAGACCGAGGCATCAGGAGGTTGCAAATGACGGCTGTTGCAGACTGAGGGTAAAGTATATTAACAAGTATTAATAAAATAAAAAGAGGTAAACAGCAGGCAAATAGTTCTCAAACAACTGGAGCGCTGGGCCCAGCTTCCCTTGTGCTTTTATTGAAAATTGCCAGGGAGCAAATCACAAAGAGAATTCTATGCAAATGAAACAAAGCTCTTTCTATTAAAAACCTTATACTTGACTCAGGAGGGAGGGGTTAGCAAATACAGTACAAGAATCAATCATGTAAACGCTTAAGGTTTGCCTTAATGTCTACCCCTGTGAACATTTAAGGTTTGCCTTAATACTTCAGGGTGAATTCCAGCTTGTCTCTGCGCCTCCCTCATAACCTGATACGGCATTTGGTTTATTATAAATATTTAGTATGAAATTTGGCTTCCCACAGAAAGGGACAGCGGGGTAGATGGGGGAACTGCAGGACACGCGACAGCTCTTTGGGGCAGAGGTGGGTGTGAATTCCGAGAAGATGTGATGTTGAGAAGCGCGCAGTGTGACTGTAGGTCTCTCTCTCTCTGTTCCCAGGAAAGCTTCAGCCATGGCGCTGGGGCTCTTCCGAGTGTGCCTGGTGGTGGTGACGGCCATCATCAACCACCCGCTGCTCTTCCCACGCGAGAACACCACGGTGCCCGAGAACGAGGAGGGCATCATCCGGCAGATGCAGGCGCGCCAGGAGGAGCTGCAGCTGGAGCAGCTGCGCCTGGAGGAGGAGGTGGCGCGGCTGGCGGCTGAGAAGGAGGCGCTGGAGGAGGCGGCCGAGGAGGCCGGGCCACAGGGCGAGGCACATGCGTCCTGGGACCTCTGGAGCACGCTCTGCATGATCCTCTTCCTGATGATCGAGGTGTGGCGCCAGGACCACCAGGACGCGCCCTCCCCGGAGTGCCCGGGCGGCGACGAGGACGAACTGCCGGCCCTGGGGGGAGCCCCACTCCAGGGTCTCACGCTACCGGACAAAGCCACCCTGGGCCGCTTCCACGAGCGCTGCATCCGGGGGGCCACAGCCGATGCCGCGCGCACCCGGGAGTTCGTGGAGGGCTTCGTGGATGACCTGCTGGAAGCCCTGCGGAGCCTCTGCAACCGGGACACGGACATGGAGGTGGAGGACTTCATCGGCGTGGGCAGCATGTACGAGAACTGGCAGGTAGACAGGCCGCTGGTGTGCGACCTCTTCGTGCCCTTCGTGCCGCCTGAGCCCTACCGCTTCCGCGCAGAGCTCTGGTGTTCCGGCCGCTCGGTGCCCCTGGACTGCCAGGGTTTCGGCCAGATCAAGGTGGTCCAGGGCGACGACGACACGCCAGGCTGCATCTGCGACAAAACCAAGCTTGGGGAGGACATGCTGTGCCTCCTGCATGGCAAGAACAGCCTGGTGAGGCCCGGGGCAAAGATGGAGGACCTGTTGTGTGCCAAGACGTCACCCTATGTGGACACCATGCAGGTCATGAAGTGGTTCCAGACGGCCCTCACCCGGGCCTGGCACCGCATCGCCCGCAAGTACGATTTCGACCTGGCTTTTGGCCAGCTGGACATGCCGGGGTCCCTGAAGATCAAGTTCCGCTCCGGCAAGTTCATGCCCTTCAACCTGATCCCGGTGATCCAGTGTGAAGACTCTGATCTGTACTTTGTCTCCCACCTTCCCAAGGGACCCTCTCCGTGGAGCCCGGCGTCCAGCATGGACTGGCTCCTGTCCTTTGCTGTCTACGAGCGACACTTCCTCAGGGTGATGTCCAAGGCCCTGCCCGAGGGGGCCTGCCACCTCAGCTGCCTGCAGATCGCGTCCTTCCTGCTGTCCAAGCAGAGCCGCCTGACTGGCCCCAGCGGCCTCTGCAGCTACCACCTCAAGACCGTCCTGCTGCACCTCCTGCTGGCCCGCCAGGCCGCAGACTGGACAGCCGGCCAGCTGGACATGCGGCTGCACGATCTGCTGCGCTTCCTGGAGAAGAGCCTGCAGGAGAAGAAGCTCCATCACTTCTTCATCGGCAACCGCAGGGTGCCCGAGGTGGCCGGCCTCCCGGAGGCCATCCGCAGGGCGGAGCCCCTCAACCTCTTCCGACCCTTCATCCTGCAGCGAGGACTCTACCGGAAGACTGTGGACTCCTTCTATGAGATGCTCAAGAATGCCCCGGCCCTCATCAGCGAGTATTCCCTGCATCTCCCTTCTGATCACACCAGCCTGCCCCCAAAAGCTGCTGTCTTGTAAAGCATCTGGGACTCAGGTGGCCTGGCAGGTCCACATGTCCGACTGCCTGGAGGCATCTGAAAGCCTATCCTGAGCAAATGGTCAGCTTTGCTGGGAGCCACAGCCCAGTGTGTCCTGGAGAGCAGAGGAAACTATTCCAAGCCGAAGCCGGTTTGCTGTTGTCCCCTTGGGGTGTGTTCCTGAGGATGGTGTTGGAGTCTAGGGGCCGAGCCTTTGCCATCTCACTGTTAGATCACCATGAATGGCCAAGACGCTGTCCAAACCTCTAATGGACACAAGTTAGAGACAATAGTGACTTGGGTGTAATTATTATTATTTTAATATCACATGCCCAGTCTTTACTTGAATATCAAAACGTCAACAGAGGATCTGCAGTAATGCTAATGGAACCTGTGTTAGGAGCCGTCCTCAGGAAGCTTTGGCCCCTGCCAAGGCACTGGAGGGACAGAGGTGGAAGCTCACAACCTTTGAGTTTCCCCTGCAAGAGAGGGAGCCCATGGCGTCTGCACTTCCATATAAACTGTTCAGAGAAAAGCCTTTGTGGAAATTCAAGGCCTAACTAACATGCCTGTTCCACAGAAAGGGATGCTTGGTGGCAGTTTTAGAGTTGGCCACTTTTTTAGCCACATTGGTCACTCAGAGGCACCCACCTCCTCTTCCCTCCTCTTTCTCCCATGGTTGTGTTGAGTCCTAAGCATTGTGGGTGCTATAGATGGTGCTGTACAAGCCCAGTGGCCCGTTTAGTCTCCCTTCAGGGGGCCCTTTGACTTCATGGTGGTGGGGATAGGATGAGTGACTGCTGTATGGAAAGAACTGCTCTAGAGAAAGAAGTGAGCCTGGTGTCTAGGTGCTGGCATCTGGCATTTGTCTGGCCTCTGAGAGAAAGTGGCTGAGCAGCGAGGGGTGCCGTGGCCGGGTGTTTTCCTGATGGGTCTCAATCCCAGATGTGCTTGGAAGCAACGAGCTTCAGTCACCAGACCCCAGGTCCTTAAGCTCTTTACTCTGGTAGATCCACCTCATTACACACAAGCTGGCCTCTCCCTGGACCTCACTGGCCACACAGCTACCCCAGGTGCAAAGAGCCTAGCAGAGGCACATGGACTCACACCCCAGGCTGTTGTGAGAGCCGCTGCCCTTGAGTGGATGCCTGAGCCTGTAGCCTGCACTGTACTCCATCCCCAGGCCTGTCCAGGAGCGTGGGGGGCCTCTCTCCCCAATACAACATCACTCGTTGAGGTCCTCTCTCTTGGCATCGCCTCTGCTGAGGGCCAAGGAAGAGGCAAGGATGAGGCGGAAGGTGACTCCTTCACCAGCACCTGTCTTCTCCCTCCAGAAATCAAGCTGGTCCTCAGGTAACACCCATTTCAGCAATGGTGTCCGGGGTCCCTCATGACCTGAACAAAGGAGTATGTCCCCTGTCTCCACCCGCAGAGTGCCCTCGCCCAGACTCAGAAAGCTCGAGATGGTGGAAAGTTTGTGTGGTGAGCTTAATTCATTGCAGAGACTCAGCTGTGAGTGGGATGCAGCAGCCTGTCGGGGACTTTCCTGAGTGGACAGGGGTTCGACCTCGGTCTGCCCTTTCCTGGCCCTGCAGCACTGACCACGATGCAGGGCATGAGCCAGAGCAAGTGTGTCCCAGTCCCTTTCCACTGGGGTTCATTTCCCAATTCCAGGCGGATTTCCTTATTTATTATCTCGATGCCTTTCTTTCCTTCTTTAGCTCTATCCCACTGGGCTTTAAAGAGACCCCAGCAACCAAGAACGGGCCACCCATCTTCTCACTTTCCCTTTTGCTTCTGGGAAAAATTTGAATGGGAAAACCACCTTTTGATGTGTTTCTGTAAAAGACCACAGATCCCCGCGGGGCAACGGGACTCTTTTATGTACCAAAGCTGCATCTGAAGCAGAGATCGGAAGGCTCTCTGCGGCCACTTGATCTCTCATGCTGCCTTATTTATAATAAAGGAGGAATTCACTTCTTGAAAGGACTCGACATGGTCACAGTGTTTCTTTATCACTTCAGGAAAGCTGTGATGCTCCCAGGGCAGAGTCAGGGAGGGGGCTGAATTTCCTGTTGACAAACGGAAGCTTTTACTCCCCTTTTATTCTTAAAAGAAATAACAAAATGGAACCTTTTCTGGCCGCCTTTTGAGGTAGCTGTGCACCAGCTGCAGAGATAAAGAAGCCCCGCAAAGCCAGCTGTAGGGTGGGTTCCAGCATCTGGACCTCACTGCAGAGTGCATGGAAGCTGGGAGTGAAGGGACAGACTGTCTTTTCAATGAAGAAGGTCTAGTTCCCTGGGGCACTCCCCCCACCTTGGGACAGTCTCCGCGCTCTTCCCGAGTCTCCATTCCTGAGGCTGCCTGGCTGCCCAGTGTCTGCATTCTTGCTTACACAGCAACTCTGGACAGTGTTTACCCCCTGACAAGGGAGACCCTGAGGGTCAACTAGTAGTAAGGTTGGCAGTTCAAACTCACCCAGAGGCGCCTTGGAAGAAAGGCCTGGAAATCTGCTTCCAAAATGTCACAACCTCAAAAACACTGAAGGGTTCAGCTCCTTCCTGCACGTGTGGGGTCGCTGTGAGTGGGAATCGATTCAATGGCAACTGGTGAGTGAACTGAGTGGGTGGCTCAAGGCCCAGCTGTTAGATTGGAGGAGGCCTCTAGCTCCCCCACACCCTCCCTGCCCTGTCTTTACACCTGTCTGTCTGAAGTGCAGCCTGGGCTGAGAATCTGAGATCAGATGACAATCAAGTTTGTCATCAGAATCACCAGGAAGGATTTGATTTGATCAAATGTCCAGACCCCATTTTAGAGTGCCCGGGACCTGTCTCTGGAGCGGCCAAGTAAGATCCTGTCTGGTAAGCTTTCCAGGTGGCACTTGGCACTTCTTCCCAAGGAGAAAACCCAAGAGAACAGCTCTCCTTACAGAGTCAAAAATGCCCCTCTGAGGAGCCAGGGAGCCTGTGGGATCTCCCAGTAGTGAGAGAAGAAGAGAGACAAGGCCGTAAGGGTTTCCTTCTAGTTGTCCATGGGAATTCATTAGGAGCCTAGACCTCTACAAGAGGGGTTGACACAGTGACTAAGAATGGACTCGAACATTTCAGAGGTGGTGAGGATGGCACAGGATACGGCAAGGTTCACGGGGCTCTGTAGGTCCTAGTTGACTCAAGGGCAGGCAGGCATCTCACAGCAACATGCCCAGGGCATGTCAGAAAAGCTCAAAAAGAGGAGTCAAGCCAGGGCTGTCCCCTGGGAGACGCAGAGGAAGATTGGTTCCCGGCTACTCAACTGTGAACAGCACAGCAAATACGTAGATAGGCTGCGAGGGGAGGCCCAGGTGAGGTCTGCTGCCCCAGGTGCAGCTGAACAGCTCAGGTTGATTTCTGGGTGCAGCTTCCTGGGCCACACCCCAGACTTCAGCAGAATCTCTAGGACTTGCAGTTTCCTGTGGGAAAGAGCATTTTGCCAAATGACCCAGGTGATTCTGAATCTCCAAGAACCACTGGTATCTCAGGGGATGAAGGAAGGCCTCGTAGTGGAGGTGCTGCCTGATAGAGGCAGTAAAAGATGGGTAGACCGAGGGCCAGAAGCATCGAGCGGGAAGGGGGGAGACATCAGCAAGCGGCAGCCACCACATGCCAGGCCCCCTTCTAGGATCAGAGTCATTCATCCAATCCCCAGCAGCCCTATGGGGTAGGCACGCTTATTGTCCACCTTATTTTCCAGATGAGGAAATGGGGGGACAGGACAGTGAAGTGGCATGGCCAGGATCATGCTGCTCAGAAGCAATGTCAGGCTTTGAACCCACGTGTTGTTAGATGGCATCGAGTCTCGTATGACATAGCGATCCTGTGAACAACAGATCTGATCCCTCCTGTGCCATCCTTACAATTTCGGGCACACTAGAGCCCATTCATTGCAGCAGGAAATCTGTCAGTCTAGCTGGTTGAGGGTCTTCCTTTCTTTCACTGACCCTTCACCTTTCCGAGGAATAGCCTCTCCTAGCAAAATGCCCAGTGTATGTAAAACAAAGCTTTATCATCCTTGCCTCCAAGGAGCACTCCGGCTGCACTTTTTAAAAGCCATGTTTGTTTGTTCTTTTGGTAGTCCATGGGATATTCAGCACTCTTCTCCAGCTCTTCTCCAAGTGCTGGTATACAGTGAGAAGTTGAAAAAAGTTGAAAGGTAGAGGGAGGCCGAACCAGAGACAGCCTTCAGCTGTGGTACTTTTGGACTCCACACAACAAGCAATGGGGAACATGGGAGATTTTTTAAGGAGAGAGAAGGTTGATAGGCCCCAACACTCCAGCGCCCTCAAGCATGGTCAGCTCTGTAGTGGGTGCTGCTGGGTACATGGCCTCCTTCCAAAGCATCAGCGGTGGTGGCAACGGTCAGTGATTGTCCAGGAAGTCCTAACGTTAGTCAGTTTCAAGACCAAGACTCAGAACATTCTCATGCTCCATATAGTCTGTGTCTCATGGGATAGAGCCGGAAGGTTGTTTGGTTTGGCCAGGGGGCTGCAAGGAGGGAGCCAAGAACCACATGGAGAAAGGAAATGGGTGCCTTCGAGTCACCTCATCCCATCCCACTGCGCCCTCCTCTTGCCTCACCCTGGGAGGAGGATTGTTTAGAGTTAACTTTTCTCATTGCTATCCAAAAATAGCTTGCTTAAACTAGTTGCTTTTCTTTTAGTAAAAACAATACACTTGTGATAAAAAAAAAAAATTCAGCCAGTGACAAAAAAACTTAGTAAAAAATGAAAGCTCTTATTCTTCACTTCTCAGTCTACTCTCCAGAGATAGTCAATATTCCATTTCTTGTACAGTCTTCCAACATTATTGTGTGGATAAATACATCACAGGTGTGTCCCTTTTGTGTGTTTTGTTTGTGGGACTCATATCTAATTTTTGTTTGTGGGACTCATATCTAATTTCTCTTGAACATCTTTTTTGGGACATTTCAGTTCAACCAACTCATTGGCGTTGAGTTGGCAGTGAC